ACTTAGTGATTAATATGTATAATATACTTAATGATTTATTATTTAACACACACATGTGATTATTACTACATATATATCTTAAATTTTTCAGTAATTATTCATGAAGTGAGACCATTATGTGTTTTTTAGTTTTTGTGTATTCACATATATCTGATTTTTTTTATATATTTCTATCAACTTATGATTTTAACTTATGATTTTGACATATATAATTTCCCTAAAAATATTTCTACATGAAATACCGAATTCGAGTACTCCCCGAGTACTCCCGAGTACTCTCGAGTACTCGCTACTCGGTAGTCGGCCGAACAGGTACCGAGTAACGAGTTCTACAACCTTGCTTACATTTTATTTAATTTCAAAGGCAAGCTCAAATATTTTGTCTAAAAATCGCAATTTAGTCTCTCAGATAAACTTTATGTTATGCCTCTACTAAAATTGATATATTCTACAAGGGGTAAAAGAGGTAATTCAAGCAATTACAGTGTGTAACTATACATAGAGGCAAAATATGTCTTTTTTTCTTTTATGTTTCTTATGTGATGTAGAAGTCCTACGTTGTGTTGAATACAAGTTTGTGGTTACTTTTTTACAATTGATTATTGGTAGAATGCATTTTTCTGGTGTTGTTGTGTTAAAGAAGTTATATGCTCATATTACTCCAATAAGTTCATTGCCATTCCTGGCAGCATTGTGGTGCTGTTGTGGCTCAGAAGTGTTGTGCCTCCGCCCTTTCTGGCTTCTGTCGCTATTGTACTGTATATTTAAATAAGTATAAAGTTTTAACTTACATGGATGAAGTGTTTTATTTTATAACTTTTAGTAATGTAGCTTATATATTTTTAAGATATATGTTTTATTGTTTACGTGATTTTTGTTTTGTTTATAAAATAATTATCATGTTATCATTACAGTCACAAATTAATATTAAAATTATGTTCAAGATCATATTCAATAGTGGGTTTAATTCAAAAGTTTGCCATTTTATAATACTATATATCTCGACCTTGATTTTTGTTATATAAACATTAACGAATTAATCAAAATATCTATTAAAATTTCATAACAAAAAACGTTTAGAATGAATGTCTAATTTGATGCAATATGATAACATAATAATGTTACATAAAATTTGATGCCTTGATTAATAAAATTGAAGTTCATATTGATGAGAACTAACCGACTAATATAATTGAACAGATTTAGTTCAAATGAAAATTTAAACACGATAATCCTTAAAAATTGAATAAAAAAAGTAAATATAAATAAAAATAGTGTTTTTCTATGGAATTATTCCAATTCACTTTACAATAACAAAAGTGACGTTTTACCCAACAAACGTTTTTTCTTTCCATGTGCTCCCTTGTGGTTGCATCATCATCTCCGTATATTTAACAAGAATCATGCAACAAAAGTAAGAGTTTTAAAAATCTCCGTTTGTCAATTAAATACTTACAATTTATAAAGTTACTTTCTTTCCATGTGCTCCCTTGTGGTTGCATCATCATCTCCGTATATTCAACAAGAATCATGCAACAAAAGGAAGGGTTTTAAAAATCTCCGTTTGTCAATTAAATACTTACAATTTACAAAGTTACTTAAAATAGGGAACATATCCTAACAAAAACACCACCATTGCACGGATTTCAAGGTTATGGTCAAAAAGATAAAAAAGAAACACATGGCGCAGTAAATAAATAGGTAAGTTTTGAAAAAAACTGACAAAAACAACAATTTTTATTTGTCTAATCAAATTACTTTATAATTAAATACTTACAAATCACAAAGTTATTATATATCAACAATTTTTATTTGTCTCACCAAATTACTTTGTAATTAAATACTTACAAATCACAAAGTTATTAAAAAAAATACAATATTATAATTCATAATTTTTATAAATTAATGATATATTATTTTATTACATAATTAATTTTTTAATTCTATTTAAAATTAACACCATGGTTTCATGGGTTTTAACCTAATAAACTAATAAATTAATAAATTAATACTTATTATTAAAAACCTAATCTGACTCAACTAATCGTATCGTGTGTGCGTTATTTGAATCGTTGAAGCGGTGCATGTTAGCATTTGAATGCCACGTGGAAACCATCTCCGAAATGACTTTGACTCGAGGGCGTCACCTGAGCCGGTCAAAATCGACGCGCCTAAAATCTGCATTTCATTTGAGTTTCATTTCACTCCTGCTTTGAACACCGCACTCAATACACACATTCTACAATCTACAAACAGATTAATCAACATCAAATTGTGGGAGGAATATTTGATGGTTTGAATTAACGAGGAGGAATCTCTCATCTCTGTAACCATTTAATTTTTTTACTGAATTCAAACCCTAGATTTTCTGTTCAATGTTGATTCGCTTTGGTTTGGTAGATTGTGGGATTTTATAGGAGTTAGAAGTATTGTGTTGATTTAGTCCTTGGTCATCAGATCTTCTATAGTTGGTGGGGAAATAGAGAGGGCGAAAATGCCGTCGCACGCGGATCTAGATCGACAGATAGAGCAGCTGATGGAGTGCAAGCCGCTGACGGAATCGGAGGTAAAAACGCTTTGTGAGCAGGCCAGGACTATACTTGTGGAGGAATGGAATGTGCAGCCGGTGAAGTGTCCGGTGACGGTGTGCGGTGATATTCATGGTCAATTTTACGATCTGGTTGAGCTGTTCCGGATTGGTGGAAATCCCCCCGATACGAATTATCTCTTCATGGGAGATTATGTTGGTGAGTTTATCTTTTGTTTTTACTTTTGTACGTCTGCTTAATGAGGTATTGTTAGGATTTAGGGTTTGATGAGACTTTTTCGATGTCGCTTCTTTTCTTCTTGCAATTGAACTTAGAGAATTCTAGATATTGAAGTTCTTTGTCCATTGATGGAAGTTTATGATCGACTGAAATTCCTGCTCATTCTTGAATATGGGGAGCCTAGACCATGAGGTTGTTTATGCATTTATAGCGTTAAGTCCTTGATAGACTGCTTATTAAGAAGTGAAGAAAAGGCAGCTTATTTATGGAAAAAAAAGTGAAGAGTAGGCTGCTTAATTAGAGAGAAAGTAACGAAAAAACTGATTGTTTAGGAAACAAATTGTTTATTTTGTAATCATTTTAACAAAATTATTGATGCAGATCGCGGGTATTATTCAGTGGAAACTGTCACACTCTTGGTGGCTCTAAAAGTTCGTTATAGAGACAGGCTTACAATTCTTAGAGGAAATCATGAAAGTCGCCAAATTACTCAAGTGTAACAACCTTAAACCTAAAAAGTGTCAGATTTGAACAACTTTTATAATACTGATTTCGTTTTTTTTTTTTTTTAAAAAAAAAAACAGATATGGTTTCTATGATGAATGTTTGAGGAAATACGGAAATGCAAATGTTTGGAAGCATTTCACAGACCTCTTTGATTACTTACCTCTTACAGCACTCATTGAAAGCCAGGTTAGAATGTTTGTATTTTATCCACGTCATCCATCTTTTTTATTTTTTTTATTATCCACGTCATACGTCTTTTCTAGATCTTTTGCTTACATGGCGGGCTTTCCCCATCATTGGATACTCTAGACAATATCCGAGCCTTGAACCGAATCCAAGAGGTACATAAATTTATTTATTTATTTAAAAATTAGGAAAGTACATTGCTATTTTCCAACTAAAGTGTGTGTGTTTGTGTGTGTGTGTGTAGGTCCCACATGAAGGGCCAATGTGTGATCTGTTATGGTCTGATCCAGATGACAGATGTGGGTGGGGGATATCGCCACGTGGCGCGGGGTATACATTTGGACAAGACATAGCAACACAGTTTAATCATACAAATGGCCTCTCTCTCATCTCAAGAGCACACCAGCTTGTAATGGAGGGTTTCAACTGGTGCCAGGTGTCTTTTCAAATTTCTTTTTTTATTTTTTTATTATTTTTTTAAAAATATTTATTTATTACATATTTGGTGTTATTTGTTAGGATAAAAATGTGGTGACAGTATTTAGTGCACCAAACTACTGTTATCGATGTGGAAACATGGCGGCTATTTTGGAAATTAGTGACAACATGGAACAAAACTTTCTTCAGTTTGATCCAGCCCCGAAGCAAATTGAACCCGATACTTCTCGAAAGACACCTGATTATTTTTTGTAATTACTATTTTACCCCTCGGAGTTGGTCTTGTACTTGTGATGGTCGATGTTGTCATATTTTTTTGTTTGGAATCATTCATGAATCATGGTGTTGTTGAGAAAGAGAAACACAAGTTTTTGTATATGTTTTTCAGAGAAGGGTAAGATGGTAATTTGTATGTGGGAAAAAAGAAAGAGTTGGTATGTAGTATGTACTATGTTATGTGTATCCTTTGGCAATTTTCAGCATGGGAATTAATAGAAACTAAAGATATAGGGTGTTTATGCTGAGTTTGTTTTAGTATTGTATTTTTCATTCTTTCTATTATAGCAGTGTACTTTTATTTTTTATTTTTTATTTTCATATTAAGACATTGTACTTTTTTTAAAAACTGTCATGTCATGTTATTGTACTTGAATATGTTTTTTCTTATTAGTTTGCTGCAATAAATATATTAATGAACGTCAAGATATATATTTCACAACTCTTGTTGACCACCTCCTTCAAAAAAAAAAAAAAAAACATTGTAGCGTATTTAATAATTATGGAACACTATTTAACGATTATTTTGGTGAGTCATATTTTAGTAATTCACAAAACTTCTATTTTTTATATTATTAACAAACATGTGGTGAGGTTAAAATGATCAAATTTGAAGCGACATACACTAGTCACTATATAGAGGAGTAGCAAAACAAAACAAATTATTTTGGTGATTTTCTATCTATTTGACTTGTTTCCTTGTTAACTTTTTTTTACTCGTTTGACATATTAAATATAAAACATAATCCAAACTTTTCACTAATTCAACTTTTGTGAAAGAAGATGCATATTCACTAAATCAACTTTTTGTGAAAGATAGTTCTTCTACACTTTTAAATTTCCACTCAAAATTACAAACTTTTCTGTGGGGTAGATATTGTTTCACTTTCAAAAATAATAAAGAATCATCATCATCATCTTGTTACATTCTATCATAATACAACGAAAAAAAAAACATTGAGTCCATGATCCCAATCATGTGAGATCTTAAAACCTAGGAGGATTGGTAGGAAGTCTGATGAATCCTCCTTGCATACCCAGTGTTCCTTTACGTTTGTATATTACAAATGAACTACATGCAAGCATCACCAACATTATTGCCTGTAAGTTTTAATAAAAATCAGTCACTTAACTCTCAAATCAAGAATGAAGAACAAAACATTTTGATGAAAATGAGAAGGAATTGAAGAGAAGAAACCTCAAAGCCAATGAAGGAGAGCTTTTCTTCATCAATGGCAGGTATACAGCTTCTGTAAGTTAAATAGACTTCTTTTCCCACTTCTATTCCAGATCCAGATGAAGATGAAGATGAAGAGGAAGAAGAAGAGGAATCTTCCAATAAACTTCGGCCCTTTTGCTTCTTCTTCTTCTTCTCCTCATTTTCTTCTTCATCTGCTTGATTTATAATTTTTATACATCTTATAGGAATTCGATACCCAGTTTCACTGCACCTGAAATTTTCATCTTTCTGTAATAACAACAAAACAGATCAACTTAAAACAAAATTTTGAGTATTAAGATGTAGCATCTTGATTCTTAATATATAACCAACTAAATTTCTTAAGAAGTAAATAGAGTGAATTACACGAATGGTCCCTATGGTTTGGGGTAATTTGCGTGTTAGGTCCCTAACTTATTTTTTTAACTCGGAAGGTCCTTACTGTGTTTTTGTTACGCACTTGGTCCCTACTGTTTGTTTTTGTTACGCGCTTGGTCCCTGTCTTACCTAAAAAGACTATTATTTAAATAGGAAAAAATGGTGGGGTAGGTAAGATAAGGTGAGATGGTGGGGTTGGGGGTGTGTTTATTTAAATAAATTAAAAAATCAAGGGAAAATAGTCTTTTTAGGTAAGACAGGGACCAAGCGCGTAACAAAAACAAACAGTAGGGATCTTCCGAGTTAAAAAAAATAAGTTAGGGACCAAACGCGCAAATTACCCTAAACCATAGGGACCATTCGTGTAATTTACTCAAGTAAATATAATGAAACACCTTGATATTTAATTATTTATACCTTGTATTATTTATCAATATAAATTATCTCTATATCTCTTATAATAGAGGCTTTCTTTCTCATGAAGTTCAAGATAACGACTATTATCAACCATATTAATTTGTTTTTTTTTTTTTTGTAAATGCATTGAACTTCTTTATTAATTAAATTTTAGGGAAAATGGCACAAAAGACACTAAGTTTACACCAAAATTCTAATTTGACATTGTGTTTAGTTTTGTCTCAAATTTGACACTGTGTTTTCCAATTTGTTACAATTCCAACCACTTGACCGGTCAATCCGGTTACCTGTTGACGTGGCATGATCACATGGCATGCTGACATGTCATGCTGACATGTCATGCTGACATGTCATATGCATAATATTATTAGGAACATCTTGAATCTCATGGTATGACTCCAATTAAATAATATTTTTCAGCTCAATTTTTTCAAAAATATTTATGAAGGATAAATATCGCTATTATTACATCTATTTTAGTATTCTCATTAAATTTTGGTATTCTGTTCTATATTTCCCACCTCTTCTTCCAGGCTTCTTACGAACGTTAGATGCAACATCAATATATACCTAATAGAATTATTTAATTGTAAATAAAATATGTGTAAAATCTACAACAAAAAATAAAATAAATAATATTTCACAAGCGATAATTGATAAAATTTTGTTATTCTTATTCGAAGCTTATGGTTAGTTTGGTTCTCATGATATGACTAATACATATTTATACATAACATTATGCTTTAAATGTAAAAAAAAAATCTTGTATTTATATAAAACTGTGGTTTTTAAATGAAAAAAAAATGTATTTATACGGTTTAAAATGTAATAAAAAATATTTACACGGTTTCAAATGGAAAATGGTCAACATTAAACAAAATTGGAAAAAATGATGTTAGATTTGGAACAAAAAAATAAAGTGTCAAAATTGAAAAAAAAATTTAAATTTAGTGTCAAAATTGAAAAAAGTGAAAACTTAGTATCTTTTGTGGTAAAAAAATTCAATTTTGACTGGTCAAGTGGTCAAAATTGTAACAAATTGGAAAACACAGTGTCAAATTTGAGACAAAAAAAACACAGTGTCAAATTAGAATTTTGGTATAAACTTAGTGTCTTTTGTGCTATTTATCCTAAATTTTAATAATAACTTCTCAATTTCCAAACTAATGTATTAAATTTGTTAATTTCAATAAGGTGTTAAATGTTAAATAAGCGAAAATAATATCTACATATTATTTTCTTAAAAAGATAAAAGTATCAAAAAAAGTTTTTAATTTGATTAACAATTACAATATTTAGAGCAACATTAAATCAAAACCTATATTAACCTAGAAATTATCATGATCAAAATTGAAAAATGATCAAAGTAGTAGTTATTTTTTACTATATATATAAGTAAATGTATATATAGTAAAATCATTTTGAAGCCCTAGCTTTTAGCAAATGTATCTTACAAGTATTTAAATAGCCTTAAACATGATGTTGTTTAGCTAACCAACATTACCTTAAGTTATAAAACTAGGTAGTGGCATTCACTAGTTCAAAAGAAGACAGACAAGATTAAGAACTAAAGAGAAAAAAAAAAGTATGCAGAGATGACCAAATAGACCCTCAAGCATGTAGTTTAGAACAACAAATTATACTGATGTTTTAATGCTCCTATGGAGCCTATAGCCAATATACTTACTATATCTAACCTGTAAATCTTTCTATGCAATCTACATGGTTTAATCTTTCATATCTATTGAACAATTTATGGGAGGGAGATATCATTCTTAGAAAGGAAGAGTATCATCTTGGATTCTGCTAATCAATTAAATGCATCAACATACTAAAATCACATCTATATGCTACCTTCCCTTAGCATACATCAAAATATGCAATCACATAGATGAAAAACACAAACATAAATACATAATAATACTGATTAAGAAGAGACCTTTTCGGAGTAAAGACAGGGTATGCAAGCACCAAAGGGAGAGCAATCGAAGGTTATGTTTGTGCCAGTTGCCTTTTCCTTGAAGGTCTTCAAACCTCTCTGCCCTACTCCTATTTCTCGTCCTCCTTCTCTGCACAATTACCGAATCAAAATCCTCATACACTTGTTGATCAGTAAAAATTACTAGGTTATTGTGAAATAATCATTGAATTATATCATTTTTGTGCCTATAACATGATAATTACAGAGAATGATTTGCTTACAATTCGGGTGATACGGATGGATCTGAAGAAGCATAAACCACGAAACAATTGAAAGCAATAGCAGCTATGAACAGATGTTGAAGAAGAACGGCCGATGAGAATTTAGAAGACGCCGTCGGCATCTTCGCCGTAGATTCTTCCGGACTACGTTTCCCCGATGTATATTTTCATACGCAGATATGAATTTGATTAGTAGGTACCAGAAATGATCAAATATAGTCAAATAGACCCTTTATTCTAGATAAATGTCAAAAAGGCCCTCAAGACAAAAATAAAACCATCACTTAGTTATTTTTATTTTTCCTATAATAACCTTTATTCTTTTTTTATTTAAACGTTAAATAATAGTAAAAAAGAAATGTTAAACTACACCATCTAGACGTTTGCCCTAATGACATCACTTCAAACTATAGTATAAAACATAAATTATTAAAATTCTTCATATTAAATAAAATCTTTTACTTATCTATCATTTTTATGATATTACAGATTGCACATAAGGTTTTAACAATGTTTGGTATCATCTTAAAAATACACAATGGGTAGTGTTATTTCGAAGTTTGAGCCTGATGATACGCTTTATTTCATAGGTCAATGATAAATATTGAGGGTGGTGATATTAAATCTTGAGAGTTAAAATATGACATTTGGCTCTATTGATTATATTTTGGGATTACTTGTTAAAATTATAGCACCCAGTTCCTGGTATGTATTTCATTCAAGTGTTTTTCAATTTGGACTAAGACTCGGCGAGTTGATGGACAACTCGTCGAGTAGTAGCGACTTCGACCCGGGGGTTAAGTGGCAGACTCGTCGAGTCGGCGGCATGACTCGACGAGTAGACTCTGGCTGGACAAAACCCTAATCCAAGAGTTTGCACCCTATTTAAACATCTTATTCAGCCTCCCTCGTCTCTTATGCTCTCAGAACCCCCTCACATTAAACCCTAATCGTCCTTGGTGAAGATCTAAGGCCTTTTTAGTGATTCTTGGTGGTTTGTGGTGGCAAGAAGGAAGGAGAAGCTTGAGGAAACAAGAGATTGGCCAGAGGAGTCAAGCTTGTGCATCATCTACAGTTCTTGGAAGGTATAAAGTCGACACCTTGCTCCTTCTTGTATTAGATCCTTTTTTGGGGAGATTTAGGGCTTTTATAAGCCATTCTTGGTGACCAACCATGATTGCAAGCATGGTGGGGGTTAAGGTTTCAGATCCAGGCTCATTAAAGGGTTGGAAGGCAGAAAGGGACTGCCTTTGCACCCATGGAAAGCCCCATGCAACTCAAGAGCTTCTTTTAGGATCTTTTTAGCTCATAATCCCATGCATGCACGTAAAGTTCGTAACTTTACGTGCTAGATCGATCTTAGGAGCCTAGATCTATCATTTGGACAAGTGTTGTACATCAGAAATCGAGAAATGAGACTTGGACAACCTAGACTCGGCGAGTCCAAGGCATTCTCCCAACTGTTGAATATAAACTCGACGAGTTGTTCATACAACTCGGCGAGTCAAGGTCAGGACTTGTTTGTAGGACGAGGATGAACTCGACGAGTTGTTCATACAACTCGGCGAGTCGGATGAAGGTTCATTCGAGGTTGTTTTAGAAGGAGAACCCGTCGAGTCATTGCTAAACTCGACGAGTAGAAGCGTGAAGAAGGATAGATGAAGGGTAGGGACTCGACAAGTTGGAGGCCCAACTCGGCGAGTCAGGTCAACTGGAGGTTGACTTTGACTTTGACTTGGTCAGGGGTAAAATAGTCATTTTACCCTAAGAACAGTTATCAGTGTCTGACTAAGTGTTTTATGGGAATTATAGCCGGAGATCACCGGAGCAGCTGTCAGACATCTGTCGATCAGCTTTTCAGCAGTCAGCCTTACGAGGTGAGTTACCTTTCAGTAGGGGTGGGTCTAAGGCACCAATGCCGGCCCACCAGTAAGCGATTATGGTTGAGATAGTTATCTTTGTGATAATTGTCTGGTTGCTATATCTGTGCTGAGTATGTGTTAAGTAGTAGTAGGGCACACTAGACCTGGTTACCGGTTGAAAGATACCGAGGACGATTACCGGTTGCAAGATACCGAAGGGGTGGATAAAACCCATGCATGTATAGTAGTATGATTATGATATGTCGTTATGTGACTCAGTATGCTTATGTGTGTTAATATGAAACCAATATATTTATGACCCGTAATATGTGATAGGGATAGGGGTGAAATAGTCCCCAGATACCGGTTGAAAGATATCGAAGGGGAGGTTAGTTCCCAGATACCGATTGAAAGATAACGAAGGGGAGAGCAGCTCCCAGTTACCGGTTGAAAGATACCGAAGGGGAGGATAGTTCCCGGTTACCGGTTGAAAGATACCGAAGGGGAGGGTAGCTCCCGGTTACCGGTTGAAAGATACCGATGATTATGTGCTATGGGTATGATGGGGGCACTCACTAAGCTTTGTGCTTATAGTTTCAGTTTTGGTTTCAGGTACCTCTTCGTCTAAGGGGAAGGAGCCGGCGGTGTAGCAACGCATCACACCCACACATGTTTTCCGCATGGAGCTTCCTGGGAATGTACTCTGATTTATTTTACTTTCGACAAAATGGTTTGGATTATTGACACGTTGGTTGTGAAATGAGACATCATTATGAATGTTTTTATACCGGTGGTTTTATGTTATAATTTATTTAAAAACGAAATTTTTGGCCTTGAATTTTGGGATGTTACAAGTTGGTATCAGAGCCCTGGTTTGATGGATTCGGACACACCCTCAGGGGTGTCTGGACTCAGACCGTGGGGCTAAAGGTTTTTTTTTAAGAAATGGTTTTCTAAATCTAAGAAAATGAGTTTGGGAAAGAACAAGGTGTGTGATGCGTGCGACCGGCCGAGCTCAAGTGAGTTTTCCCCAAGATACCCATACTTGTTATGTTATGTGATATATGACTCTGAGAACTGCATGCTAGATTAGGGCTAAGGATCTATGAGGATGCCTTTTATGCCTGATATATGTTTCTGAGAACTGCATGCTAGATTAGGGCTGAGGATCTAGGAATGATGCCTTATATGCCTGCTGTATGAGCTGCATGCTAGGACTACCTAGTCAGCAGTAGGATGGCCTGGGTAGGTAATGCTTGATATGGTTACTCGATGCACGAATGCTGCTTGCTTTGTGCTATAGGGGTCCTGGCTAACTTCAACTAACCAGTGAGCGGATATGTAGCAGTATCCGCAAGCTAGTTAGGGGAGGATGGTAAGGACTCCTGGTGCAGCTGATAGCGGGGAGTAGATCGGAGAGTGCCCTAGGGAAGCCTAGGATGAGAATAGTTGGAAAGGGATATTGTGACAACTGTCAACTTTGGGTTAAACAAAGTCAACAAGTCAACCAAGTCAACACGACTAGTATTAAGATTTTAGGATAAGCACTATGTTTTCTTAATGTTCCTAATGTACAACTTGCAATTATAATACAAAGTATCTATCTTTTTACCAATTATCAAATATAAACCCTAGTTAGGGTTAGTAACGTAAAAACTTGATAATTCAGCTATATACTATTTATGAATAAATAATACTCGTAACACAATGTAGTAGGGTTCATAAACCTAACACTAGGGGGCAAGAATCATAGCAAAGGCTACAAACACAAACTTTTGGTAAATTCGTCACCAAATACGACAAAGTTTATACCCGGCTAAACACAAACTTTTAACGAACCAAAATTTGGAAATTCAACCTAACTTTCATATAATGTATTATTATTTTGATGATAATGCTTGTTATAATATTTTGAATATTTATAATTCAAATTAAATATTTTATACGTCATTTATACCATATTTATTTTATAAAACAACACCATTTTTATAAAAATATCAAGAAATTATAAAGGGTTGACTTTTTTTTATAGAAAGTCACTAGTTAATACAATGTTCCCCCAACATAAACAAGACACATATATGCACTTACACAAACCCTAAAAGTAGAACACCTTTAATTAAATCCATGTTCCCCCATTACCACCCCTCATAACTCGTTCCATCTACCCCACCCAACCTCTTTCCCCCTTCCTTCTAATTCACGGCCAAAAAGGCCTCTCCTTTATTCATTTTCTTCATTTCAAGCTTCTCCTCCAAGATATTCACTCTTTCACCAAAAGCAAACATATCTCTCTCTCTCTCATTTCCTCTCTCTCAAAACTCGAGATTTCAAGGCTGATCTTGAGCTTTTCCTCCACATTTGGTAAGTATCTTCCTCCTACACTTGAATATTCTACAATCTTTCACCTAAATCATGGAATTCTTATACAAATATCGCCATATTTGTTCCTAGATCTTCAAATCTTCAAACATCTTCCAAGTGTTCTTGAGTTGGAAACTTCTTTTCTTCATCATCCATCCCAAGAAATCAATCAAGGTGAGTTCATACCCCAACATTTTCATGTTTTCTTCAAGTTTTAGGGGGGGGGGGGGGGGAATATAAGTTAAAACACCTTAATACAACTTAAACTCATGGTTCAGCTCTTCACAGAAGAGTTGGGTCTCATTCACGGACTGTTTTAAACATGTTAAACGTTTTGTCTTTCAAAACTGTTTCACATGCAAATAGTTCAAGTTTTTACCTGTAAAATGACTACTTGCACATCTCCATACGATTTTTCTACAATTTATGGTGATTTTTACGAAACAGCCTATCATTTCAAAAACAATTCGGACCAGTCTGTGAATATAGACATTGTCACACAAGTTAGAGGTTACTAAAAATTATAATAAAAATTATGTACAAACTAGACACAATTTCTAAACTCTCAGAATTTACGGATTTAGTTTTGGAGTCCGTATGATTTTCCTGTGATTTTTCGAAAACAGTGCAAAAAGGTTAAAAGTTTAGTTAACAGTTTACAATTCTATTAACACTTTGTAACATGTTGAGCAAAGTGTAAATCAATAAGTTTCTAAATGTTGATTGTATTTAATGTTAGTTTAACATCCTAAACAGAAGTGGTTATTCATGATAAGTATTGTATACTTTACAAACACATAAAATGAACTATAAGAGGCATAGTTATGGACTTCACATTATAAATACACCCAACGAACTATATTAGGTATAGTTATGGTTTTTCACATTTCAAACACATACATAAATGGGATTCATTTTTCTACTACACATAAAGGGTTTTATATACACACACGTAA